GTTCTAAAGATGTCATAAAACTTCACCCATGAATACATGAACTGCCTTTCATGGGTCGGTGGTTTTTTCTGGGGTTTTTCCCGGGGTTTTTTCTTCCATCATTAATACTGGCCACCATGTATAGCCTATCTTGTGCTGAAAAGTGGCATTAAACCCAATCACAACAACAACAATAACATTATGTGTCAAATGCCATCGCCACCTCACCTGTTTTGAAGTCAAAGCAAGAGAAAATGTACTTTGATAACTTGTCAAGATATTTTTCATTTACACCAGTCATGGGGTCAATTACAGGTGCTCAATTACAATCATGATTATAATTACAGGTTGTTTGGCACTGACAATGATTATAATTAATGATTACAAGGTGATTTTGATCATGATTGCTTTGTATTTGCTTGTTACCTGTTTTTGTTCTGTGCAGATATCATACATTGTATAACTGAAAAACAAACAATTTTAGCTCTGTATAAATGTTTATTGATAATTATTTACATATAAATTAACATGGCAATTCAAGTTGGCATTTGTCAGATTAAAATCTGTCTGTTGTGAAAATTTTGCTTGCAATAGAGAACAGGTGTTCAAATGGAGATCTACAGGTAGAAGCAAGCAAGGTTTGACAGTGTAGGGTTGAAGTCTTGTTATCATTTCCAATAGGCCAGTTGGTCAGCATCCTCGGACAGGCACAGATAAATTAGTTTGTATAATGGCCACCTACAACTACCCATTTTATTATTTTTTGTTTATGGAAACTTTTATTATTCTTATAATTATTAAGAATATAATTAGTGATATTTTGGCTGTAGTCATCTGTAATATGATTACTCACTCTATGTGATAAGACTGCCAATGAAGGATGATTATGATTATACAGCTTATGAAATCAATGATTACAATTACAGCTCACACTGTATTACAGATCAACTCTTTTAATAATAATAATAATAATAATAATAATAATAATAATAATAGTATTTACTTACAATTGTAATAGACCCCATGTGTGATTTGTACCATTGAAGTTATTTTAATACAACATCAGTCAGTTATACAGCATGTAAATTAATGTTTTGCAAACCAAAACCATACTGTCTCAGAAACAAGGTCATGGAAAGGGAAAATGTAGTTCTATAATTTTTAATTATGTTTAAAGTTTAACTGTGGGAAGGATAAAGAGCATTAGTATTGATGTCATCAATTCATTATGACTTGCAAGTTATTTATTTGCTTGTTTATCCTAAATGCTTGATTGATTTTCTTCATACTTTGGGTAAATCTTTGATACTAAGGCAATTCACTCTACAATACACTCACTCAACCCTTTTATTGGAACTCCTGGCCTTGTAGATAGCCTAGGGGTTAAATTGAAGTGTGTTACACTCACTCAACCCTTTTATTGGAACTCCTGGCCTTGTAGATAGCCTAGGGGTTAAATTAAAGTGTGTTACACACACTCAACCCTTTTATTGGAACTCCTGGCCTTGTAGATAGCCTAGGGGTTAAATTGAAGTGTGTTACACTCACTCAACCCTTTTATTGGAACTCCTGGCCTTGTAGATAGCCTAGGGGTTAAATTGAAGTGTGTTACACTCACTCAACCCTTTTATTGGAACTCCTGGCCTTGTAGATAGCCTAGGGGTTAAATTGAAGTATGTTACACTCACTCAACCCTTTTATTGGAACTCCTGGCCCTGTAGATAGCCTAGGGGTTAAATTGAAGTGTGTTGATACATTGATCAGAGTGACATCTCAGCTTATTTTATCCAAAAAAAACTATCACAGAAAAACCCTCTAATTTTCTGAAAGAAAGTGATGAATCATGTTTCCAGGAATGGTCATGTTTATTAAATCCTCCTGGATGACCATCTCTGTCAAATGAGAAACTAGGGAGACAGGTAGGCTCTTGTTAAAATTTGAAACAAAGGTCAAAAGTTAAAATGTCAACATTCACAAAATGGCACTGTAAAAATTAGTCAATTAAACAGTAAAGCATGAAAGAATATTTATTGTGCTGAAAATTATGTTAAAGTGATAATAACAAATGAGCAAGATAGCCTGTCATAATTTAAATTTTAACATTTAAAACCATAGTGTGTTTTTTAATCTTTTAAGATTTAAGAAATTATTTCATGTTTATTCCAAATTTTGCTTTTTTAACATTCAACCCCAAAATCAAGACATAAATACATATCTCTGAAACTCTAAAATCTAACCTTTCAGTAAATTTATTTTCTTGTCAAATCATGGTAGATATTTTTTAAAAACTTGCAAGGCCTAAGGTTTATACTACAAAGGCAGCTGAAAAAGGTTTTAGATAGTTATGTTTAATGTGAAATTCTTATGTTTCATAATTTTAGCTGATTAGGTCATAGACTAAAAAAGATAATACTGTTGCCTTTTATAATCTGTCAACCTGCATCCATTCACACTACTTCTGATAAACTCCATAAAGGAATGCTATCAGACCTTACAGACACATACATCCCAAATTCTATTCAGTCCTAAATGAAAATGTTGCCCCTTGGCCTGAAAATCATTATGAAAATCTTAATGCTGCTACTCCTAAATAGAT